GGTATGATTTGAATTGGAAAAAGGAGTCTACTTATAACTACTATTTACAACTACAACTAACCTACAACTACTATATACACCTAACCTACTATATACAAATTGCTTATCAAAGCATGTTCTGATAAATTACATTTTTGTGCAAATTTAGTCTTAATTTCGTTAATTCTGGAATCTATTTTGGCAATGCCTGCCTCTTCATGTAAATTTGTTATTCTAGTGTCGAAAGGACGATCAAGAACCATCCTCAGCACTCTATTCTGAGCGACCTGAATTTTGTTCCTGTGAGTCTGTGCACATGATTCCCACACCGGAGCTGCGTAGAGGATCGCAGGTGCTATGATTTGTTTGTAGACGGCCAGTTTGTTCACCCTTGAGAGGCGGGATCTGCGGCAAATCAGCGGATACAGACACCTAACCAAGGTAGAACACTTGACTACAGTTTTCTCTACATGCGAACGGAAGAGGAGCTTTTCATCGATCAACATCCCGAGATAGGTTACTTCGGCGGACCACTCAACCCTTGTGCCATCCATGATTACAGTACAAGATGGAGCCGGTTTCAGTTTGGGCGATTGCCGATGGAGGAACATGATCGCTTGTGTTTTGGAGGGATTGATTTTAATTTTCCACGTGGTGGCATAATCAGCAAAGGCGTTAAGGCATCGTTGAAGTTTGTTCGTTATTTCGCGAGGCATCCTTCCTTTGACGGCTATTGCGGTATCATCTGCGAACAGGAAGAACACGCAACCGTCTCCAAGGGGAGGAATGTCGGAAGTATAAATGCTGTAAAGCAAGGGGCCCAGCAGACTGCCTTGCGGCACTCCTGCTGGGATGGAAAACGTGTCGGAAAGACAACCATTCAACGATACCTTAAACGACCTTTGCTGAAGGTAGTTACGGGTGATTTTAACCAAATGTAATGGGAAGTTGAAGTTACAAAGCTTGTACACAAGTCCGTCATGCCAAACATTGTCAAACGCCTTTTCAACGTCTAACAAGGCCATGGCTGTGGACTTGGATACAGCTTTGTTACTTCGGATGTTATTCATCACCCGTACTAGCTGATGATTGGTGGAGTGCCCCTTTCTGAATCCAAACTGTTCCGGAAGGAGAATGTTATTTTCCTCGACAAACTTGAGCAAACGATTGAGAATGAGTTTCTCGAACAATTTGCTCAGCGCTGAAAGGAGGCTGATTGGTCTGTAGCTTGAAGGCAATGTTGGATCCTTACCGGGTTTGCGGATTGGTATGATTTTTGCTACTTTCCAGATACTTGGAAAGTAGTGCAGTTCCAAACATCTGTTGAAGATAGCGGTTAGAAGAGACTGCACTTTCATGCTGAGTCTCTTCAAGATCAAGTTGAATATACCGTCAAACCCGGGAGCCTTCATGTTCTTGGTGCATTTCAGCGCTGAGCAAATTTGTTGTACTGTAATCATATCCGCCGGAGGCACGACACAAGGGGAGGCATCTAGGTTTTGAACGCATTGCGCAACCTGATCTTCGAGCGGACTTTGGATATTCGAGCCAAGCAAATGCGATGAAGCGACATGCTCGCCGATCGCATTTGCTTTCTCCTGTGGGGTGATTAAAAGCCGATCGTCATCATTTTCGACTTTGAGAGGTGGAATGGGTTTGGGATGAGTTTTCAGGACCTTGGCTACCTTCCAGAATGGTCTGGAGCGGTCGTCCAGATTCTGGACAACACGCCCGAAACTTTCATTTCGGAGTGAGTCCATTCTGGAAGCAATCTGTCTGTTCAGATCAGCCATTTCACGTTTTTTGCCCAGATCTCCAGTCCTCTGAAACTGGCGTCTACGAACATTTCTCAGGCGAATCAAAAGTTGGGTGTGGGAATCAATGGCAATAAACTTACCCCTCACAGGAACTCGTCGGACGCACGCCTCGTCAGCCACGGTTATGGCTTGGTGGAGTCCCTCCAACGCTCGGTCGATGTCCTCCACGGTGTCAAGCGGCGGGTTGTCGATGATGTGCCTGTCTACCAAGCGTCCCAACTGGGCCCAGTTTACGCGATGATAGTCCTTGCACAGGCTTCAAGCAAGAGCCACGTTGCAGCCCAGTTCAGCCACCACCGGTTGGTGGTCGGAGTTGAGTTCGTTCAAGGCTACCGGCTTGGACAAGCCGATATTTGTCAGGAACAGGTCTAGCGTCGATGGGTTGCCCGCCGGTGAGATGAATGTTGGTTCATCCGAAAACCAAACGGAATACAGCCCATGCTGTGAGTGGTCGAACAGGAGACGACCGTTCTGGTTCTGCTGGTAGTTCCGCCAGGCCTCATGGCGAGCATTCAGATCTCCTCCAACTACGAAGCGGGAACCGGTACGGGTGATGGTGGTCAGGTCCTTCTTGAATTTAGCCGCTAGTCCACTGCTGGCGGCACACTGTCGAGGGCAGTAGACGGCGATGAACTGGACGTATCCAGTCGACGACTCCACCTCCACACCAAGGGCCTCGATGATAGAGGTGCGGATATGGGACAGAGTGTGGTATTTTATTCCTTTCTTGACGACGACCGCAACACCACCCCCCCTGGAGCTGGTGCGATCAAGCCGGATAGTGTTGTGGTCAGGCAACCAGAAGCTGTCGCCGGACTTTAGATGGGTCTCGGTTAGAAGGCCCACGTCGATGCTGTGCTTGCGGAGGAAGTCGGCAAGCTCAATCTTTTTTGCTCTTACAGAGCAAGCATTCCAGGTGACGATAGTTAGCGGTTTAGACGCCATACTGGATGATGAACTTACCGAGCACTTGGATCTGTTCGGGCTTATTGCGGCACTTACGAAGAGCACCGGACATGTTGACGAAAATTTCCATCAGTTCATCCGCTGAGAACAGATCGGGGTTGTTGTTTTGCGCTGTTGGTTGTCTCCAGAATCCAGGGGGGGATGGAGAGCTTTGACCAGCAGAATCACCGGAAACTTCTTGAGGGGGGGCGGGTTGCACCCACGAATTCGCTTGCCTTTGCTGGGGAGCACGAAGAGGCGGAAAATCCTCCGTCCTGAATGCTGGGGTTTTGTCCTTCTTGCGTCCTGGTTGATTGTTGCTTGACGCCTGCTTTCGGATGCGTTTGAAGTCCTCGCGTTTGGAGCACTGTCTGTCGGAACCTTGATGTGCACCACCACAGTTAGCGCATTTTATCGCCACGGCTCCATCCGCAGGGCAGTTGGAAGTGGCGTGTTCTTGAGCGCAGTTGCTGCAGCGTGGCTTGATGTTGCAGTTGCGGGTACCGTGTCCAAAATTGAGGCACCTCATACACTGCGTTACGTCACGATGGCCGCCACGGTATGGCTCCCACCGAACGATGATGGAGCAGATCGATCGGATGGCTTGTAGCGCATTGAGCGTCACCGTCCCTTTCTGGAAGTGCACCAGGAAGAGGCAATCCGGGTACGTCTTCACGTTTTCGTCTCTCCTTGTCATTCGGAAGACAGCGATTGGGGCAAGCTTGTACCGGTTGATTTCAGCTTCGACCATCTTGGGGTCGAAGTTTGGTAGACCCCTGATGACTACCTTGAAGGGCTTCTCACCGGGGATGTCGTGCGTGAAGAATTCCGCCTTGGTATCCTTCAGATATTTCACGGCCACTTCGTACTCCGCTTTGGTTCGGAGCATCACCTTGGTGCCGATCCTGCCGAGCTTAAACTCAGCTGCAACGCCCAGCGATGAAAGATCGCCAATCAGCGTGTTGAGTGGGACTTGCTTCACCACCAGTGGAGGAAGCTTCAATTTTGCTGCATTCGGGCTGGCAGCAGCTTCGTTGTCGACGGCGTCGCCGAAATCACCAATGACGCTGACGTTCGTCGCGGTGGCATCGTCCCGTCCACTCGCACCATCGGACTGGCCTTGATTTTTCTTCCTCTTCTTAGACCGCTTCACCGTGGCTGAGGTGGGATTCCCTACATCGGTGGGAAGAGTAGCGTACCTATTCGAAATAGGTACACTCAAGCTACCCTCACCGCTGTTCTTCTTCTCTGTTTTCTCTCGGAGCCTGCTCCGGGAGCGCTGTCTTCCCATCACACGAAGCGACCGACACTACTGACGACGCGATTAAACTGAATGTTTGGAACAAACTAGAAACTTTAGAACAACTCGACAGAGCGAGCAAAGACCGAACTGTACTGCTTGACGTTCAAGCAGAGAATGACCACCACTCACCACGCGGTGAGTGAATAAATACCGTTTGGTGAGACCGGATGGAATTTAACTTTGAAACCTGTGTTAGGGAAATCAGTTTTCGCAGGCAATCAGTGATAGTTTTAATTGTCAAAGCAACAGTTGCACATTCGTGCAATATTCAATACTGACATTTAAAAAAAATATGATAAAGTCTTAAATTTAACAGATGTGTGGAAATATATCTGATTAATTATTGTAATTAGTCCAGGGGCAGCTGAGTTATTAACGTTCAAAATCTTTATTTTTTTGCTACTTGTCCATTTTCGGTTTTCACAAAGTGTACCCCCATATAGAAACCATAGACGTAGTCCTACGTTAAATGAAGTGAATGGAGCTGCTTTTTGTTTGTATTCAGTCTGCACAGTGAACAACTTCACGCTGTGGTTATGATTTTTCACATATTGTTGTCACCGAATGCAATTAACCTATGACTGTAGAACGGATCTCTCTTTCTCGTGTTTTAGTATTTATATGGAATAACTTCCAAATTATAGAGAAAGATTTGTCCTACAGCCATCGGAAATTTAAGCATCCTCCCCCCCCTAGAGATATTTGTAGATATGCCACATTAACTAAACGCATCAGTCAAACTTCAATTCACCTGATTCAATTAAAGCTTTTTTTTCTCTATAAATCAACACTGACATTCAATTTAATTATAGCTTGAAGCACAGATGCCCGACAACCGTCTAGTTTGGCACAGTCAGCCTTCGTTCAGAAAACTCCGACAAAGTCATGAATAATCCATCGCCGTTCAATGTACTCGCCCTCACATTCGTCACCATCGAATCCAATAAATCACTTACCTTCTCCAGCCGGTTATGGGCCATCTCCTTGTGCAGCATTGCCGCTGACTTAATCTTATCCAAATCGCTCTTCATCACCTGTATCTGCTCTTCGAATTTTCGAACGTTTTCCCGTTCCTCCTGAAGTGTGCTCACACTGACGGCCATCGCCTGGATGCTCTTGGCAATATTGTGTCCTTCCTCCCGAAGTAGACCTTGCTCGGAGGAAATCTGTGCCGCGTTGAACTCAACCTTCGAAATCTCCCGCTTAATATCCGGTAACGTTTTTTCAAACTTGTTCTGAATCCCCTCGACATCCTCCAGCAGCTCCAGCATCGATCCGTGCAGCTTATCTAAACTGGCTACCTGCCGGCTAATGTTGAAATTGGCATTAGCCAATCGACGCTGTTCGATTTCAAGGCTCCGCAATCGGTCGGCCATTCGATGGTTGAAGATGTCGTTCAGCTGCCGCTTCATAGCCGTCTGCTTGACCTCCAGTTCGTGCAGCTGCTGGCGGAAGAAGCGATGATGGCGCATCCTATGGTCCGCTTCCGGTTCGACAAAATCGATGGTGTGCGGTAGATGTGATTTCGAGTTCTGTGGAAGAGTGGTAGAAGGAAAAAAAGTAATTAAATTAGTTATGGTACATTGAAGCGTGCTCGAGAGCTGTGGTTGATTGAACTTTAAGAAAATTTAAATTGACTGGGAAGTGAAAATCACACAGATTTGCAATTTGCTTGTTTTCAATTCGTTTATACTATTCCCGATGCAGCAATCCTTTAATCCCCATTGCTGCAATCCCTGCGAGATAAACTGCAATGCATCACCTGTATCAGCCTGGTGTGGGGAAAGTGCTATTCCCCTAGAGTCTTAGCCGCAAAAGCCCCAAACTAACCGCACTAGCCACTTATCTTGTCCGTAAATAATAAATCATCTTCGTGGGCACTCAATTCCCATCTGCTCCTCGAATATCAACCTCTCTCCCCCTATAGTATGGTGGTTTGATTACGGTTCTGTCCAGTCTGTCTACTATCTGCAGCCAAGCCTGCGAGTCCCACCAAATCTAACTCGTAAACACGTTGCTCGCTGAACTTTCACCCTAATGAAATCACCATTTCGATCGAATGAGCAGGCCACAACTCGACCGGAAACGTTCTGACTTGGTGCGTGGTGGTGGTGGAAAAAAAGCACTTCTCTGGCAGTAGGGCACGCCCCTTATTCTCGGACTGGAGGCGCTCCAACGACGATGAATGAGCAAGGCCACCAAGTGGAAAAGTTTTTGGAACGGAAGCGCGATACTAAATTATTTATCGGAAGCGCACACGGGATTCGAAATGCGGGAGGATGAAACATTGCGTCCGGCGGAGAAGCAGAATGACTGAGTGCAGGATTAAAGAGCACCAACTGCTTGTTGCGGCAGATCCTTTGGATGCGATAAGCGAATGGTGTTGCTGTTTCGAAGAACACGGAAATTAAATGAACGGAAGCTTATCGCTGAAGCGCCAGCTGTTTTTGGCGGGTTAAATGGGATGATCTTATGGCTTCCATGGCTGCTCTCACGTCAGTATTCGATCTGAACACTTTACCATTACCAAGGAATAGAGCTTCCATATCCCGTCGTTGCATTTACAACAAGAAACATTATGGAACAAATTTCAGATGAATTACAATGCTCAAACATTTAATCAAATTGCAGGATTACTGGATTTGCTGAATTTTTTAATTACGCCAATAACTAGACCAGTATCACATTAAACACTGGAAAACAATCTTCTTTGTACTTTAAGCTTACTTGAAAGATCTCAAAATAGGTTTTCGAAAATCTTCAAATTTTCCTGAAACGTCCATGAACATTCCCTGCAAACAATGGTGATAGCTTTGGATATCATACTTCCCCCTTAACTTCGCCGTATTTAATTGGCTGAAATTATTTAAAATGGTTCCCAATGGCATTCCCTCCAATCAAAGTATTGGTATAGCTCCATAACGATAAGTATCTTTAAAGCGTTAAGTTCTAGTTTGACTTAAATTGACCTATCCAATTGTAAAATCAGTAGGGTTTAACAGTGATGAGATGGGGGCGGCATCAAACATTTATGTTAATGGTATAATAAACCCTTCAGTCGATATTGCGAACGATGATTGTTTGCTATCTAATATGGCTCAATTCTAGCAATAAAATATTATTACATGTAAAACAAGCTTTGCTCCAGCTTTGCGATTATCGTACCATCATGCCCGTAATGCAAACGAATCCCAACCCACCGCATACGAACGTAGATACCTACATTGCAATTTCGTTCGGATCGATGCCAATCAGAGCAACAGATCGAACAATTTCATCGAACGATTTTATTCCAACCGTACTTCCCCTCTCAACCTCGCCCCGGAGAGCGAGGGGTGGGAGTTTTTATGTTGCTTCATCCTTCTCGATGGTAGTACATCTCCTACCATTCATAAGGAATGCTGTTTTATCCCTCGCATTTATTTGCCAGAACTCTCTTCTGGTTGGGTTTGCTCTGCATCTCAGCAATATTCACGTAGAATGCATGCAAATACGGATACCTACACAAAGTGCTTGAAAGAAAGCGGACTCATCCTTCGTCAGCCAGGGTAAATTTGTATATTTATGTAGGTTACGGAGCGGAGCAAAGTCCTCGTTTGCATTTTCCCTCTCGTTGGGATTCAAATCAAAGTCCGACCGGAAAGGTTCTCGAATAAATATTGCAAATTTAATAAAGATAGGGTTAACGCCCCTAATGTCGACCCAAGTGTCCCTAATATTGGACCCACACATATGTTTCGAAGGAAGTCATTTTCTGACAATGTTTAACTATCATCCTAAACAGGATATTTTTATCGATAGGCCCAATCTTTCGATGCATAGGCCAACATTAGAGCCATTTCTCCGAAATCCCATTTCTTTGTCTGGCTCACTTCCGTTTCACGTGTATCCCCACTGGGTGTTCCACGGTAAGAATAGGACGCAATGGAACAGGCTGCCCTAGCTGGTGGGAGAATAAATATGAGAAATAAGTACAACCATCGGATTGGAACGAAACAGGAGGTCTGCCTCCTCGTCGTCGTCGTGATCGGTGGAGGCGGCGACTGCAGGTTCACATAAGATGCGATTGAAAAGCGATTGGGAACTGAAAGGATGTCGAAAAAATACGCAAAGTGTGAGAAAAATGAAAAGCCCATAAACAGCGAGTAACGAGCAGAAACAGGAAAAAAATACTGCTCACTTCACCAGCCCCTATCTTCGCGGCTGGCTGATGGGGCTTTACCATCGGGACGGGCAATAAACTTCGTTAAGGATCGAGGGTGAGAAACAAAAACATCTGCAAACGTCTGTGGCTGCGAGAATGAATAAGGATGCGTTGCGATTATCTCAGGAACTGAGGATAATGAAAATCCTATGAGCCATCTCTTTACTTTGCATTCGGTGCGGCGAAAAAAAGGCAAAGCACTCTGATGGTCAATCCAGATCTGATGTCTCATCACAATGGTCTTTAGCGGGTACTGTGATGCACCGAATACCCAACGGTTCTCGTTGATTCGGACATTTAATGCATTTATTTTGAAAGCCCAAGTCCCAAGTAACAATTTGGGTTTTATGAAGATCATGACGTAGGCTTGTAGAATGCGTTAAAACCTCGATAAAACTTGCAATGTTACTAGGAGGTGTTTTTGTTTTTCTTATTAATTTATTTGATAAGGCACAACCGAATTAAATTTACAGCGTCGCCGATTCTTGTTCACTATACATCCTAAAAAACTATAGTCAAAATAAGCGAATAATTTTTGCCTAAAATTATAAATGATTTTGTTGGATATTTGTTATAAAGTCTCAACATTCAAATTTCGATGTACCTTGGTAATACTGTACCAGGGAGGCAACTTAAAAATCATCTTCAGAACTTTGTTCTTAATCTTTTGAAGTGCTTTTTTCCTGGTAGTGCAACAACTAGACCATATTGGCACAGCGTAAAGCATGGCGGGTCTAAAAACTTGTTTAAATATTAGAAGTTTATTCGTCAGGCAAAGTTTGGATTTCCTGTTTATAAGAGGATACAAACATTTTATATATTTATTACATTTGGCTTGAATGCCCTCAATGTGATCTTTAAAAGTTAATTTTTGGTCAAGTATTAATCCAAGATATTTCACTTGGTTTGACCAGGAAATTGGAACTCCGTTCATAGTGACTATGTGTTTCAAAAACGACGCTCTAGGCTTATGTCGAAATATTATAAGTTGAAGTTTGGAAGCGTTGGGAGAAATCTTCCATTTTTGTAAATAAGAAGAGAAAATATCTAAACTTTTCTGCAGTCTGCTGCAAATAACACGAAGTCCTCTTCCTTTAGCGGAAATGCCTATGTCATCAGCGAACAAAGATTTGTGGCAACCCTGAGGCAAATCAGGGAGGTCCGAAGTGAAAATGTTATACAACATAGGCCCAAGAATGCCACCCTGAGGAACTCCTGCTCTAACAGGTAGTCGATCAGATTTGGAATTTGGATAATTTACCAGCAGAGTTTTGTTGGTTAAATAATTTTGAAGTAATATCATAATAAAGAGTGGAAATTTAGCAATCAAAACTTCATGCCAAACACTATCGAATGCTGAAAGTATTTCTTGAGATATTCCAAAAGTTACTGGAAGGTGATCAGAACCGAAGTCAGCATGGGTAACCAATTGGCTTCAAAGTTGACATGAATCAGTTAAGACCAAATCAATAGTCGAGGGATTTCTTGCTGAAGAAAAGCATGTTGGGCTGTTTGGATATTGAAAAGTGTAATAACCTGCAGAACAATCATCAAATGGAATATTACCATTGGAATTGCTTTGAGCATTATTCCATGAGCGGTGTTTTGCATTAAAATCACCAATAATAAAGAATTTAGACCTATGACGAGTAAGTTTCTGAAGGTCACCCTTGAGAAAATTCTTTTGCTGGCTTTCGCATTGGAATGGCAAATAGGCAGCTATAAACGTAAGTTGTCCAAATTTTGTTTCAACAGAAACTTTGGTTTCAAATGAATAAAAAATTCGATTTGATTCGTCTATGAACAATGATGGCAACGCCACCACAGGGTCAATCAAGACGATCATTTCTATAAATGAAATAATTTGCGTCCCTCTTAACATTATGGTCAGGTTTAAGGAACGTTTCAGTTATAACGGCAATATGCACTTTATGTTCCCTCAAAAAGTTTAATAGCTCGTCTTCATTATCTTTAAGAGATCGCGCATTCCAATTTAAAATATTTAATGATTGTAAATCCATCATGATAATACTGTTCGTAATTTTTACTCCAGTTTGAATAGCATCAAACATGGAGCTAGTTTTTAGCATATCAGTAATCATGTCAATTAATGATTTCTGTAAAAACTCCATTTTAAGAGCAGTAATGCTTCCTAAGTCAAAATTTTCAAAATTCCCGGTAGAATTACGTTGGCTAGTATTTTGATTTTTACCCGCTGCAATAGCAGCATAGGTAGCTCCATTTACTCGCTGAACATTGTCATGACGATATTGTTAGCAGCGAGGGGAGCAAGCATAGATGAAGAATTTCAAGCAGGGGTGATATTTG